TGTACAGGAGACAGGGATCAAGACCATCCCCATGGAAAAGAAATGCAAAAAGGCAAAATGGTTGTCTGAGGAGGCCTTACAAATAGCTGTGAAAAGAAGAGAAGCAAAAAGCAAGGGAGAAAAGGAAAGATATTCCCATTTGAATGCAGAGTTCCAAAGAATAGCAAGGAGAGATAAGAAAGCCTTCCTCAGCGATCAATGCAAGGAAATAGAGGAAAACAACAGAGTGGGAAAGACTAGAGATCTCTACAAGAAAATTAGAGATACAAAGGGAACATTTCATGCAAAGATGGGCATAGTAAAGGACAGAAATGGTATGGACCTAACAGAAGCAGAAGATATTAAGAGGAGCTGGCAAGAATACACAGAACTGTATAAAAGAGATCTTCACGATGGTGTGATCACTCACCTAGAGCCAGACATCCTGGAATGGGAAGTCAAGTGGGCCTTAGGAAGCATCACTATGAACAAAGTTAGTGGAGGTGATGGAATTCCAGTTGAACTATTTCAAATCCTGAAAGATGATGCTGTGAAAGTGCTGCACTCAATATGCCAGGAAATTTGGAAAACTCAGCAGTGGCCACAGTACTGGGAAAGGTCAGTTTTCATTCCAATCCCAAAGAAAGGCAATCCCAAAGAATGCTCAAACTACCGCACAATTGCAGTCATCTCACATGCTAGTAAAGTAATGCTCAAAATTCTCCAAGCACAATTCAAAAAGTCACCATATTCAGAGAGGCTCAAAGAATGGCTCCCAGTCAAGTATTTATAGTTCAGTTAGGTATTTATAGAATAAATCAGTGTTGTAAAACATACCTCATTCTCCCCCATTTGGACACTGGGGCTTTGGAGAAGTAATGATAAGTGATAGAGCCAAGATCTCCTGACTTCAAGGGCCATAGTTCCTTCTATTCTATCACAGCCACCTCATTTGAATGGGACTCTAATCTTCACTATGACGATGGCCTAGTCTTAGTTGAGTGTACTAAAAAGAAATGTCTTAATATTTTCTGAGGTGCAATGTAATCTCATGTGCTTAGTCACTCAGTCATGTCTAACTCTTTGCAACTCCATAGACTGTAGCCCGCCAGGCTCCTCTATCAATGGGGATTCTCCAGGCAAGAATACTGGAGTGGGTTACCATGCCCTCTTCCAGGGGATCTTCTCAACCCAGGGATCAAACCCAGGTCTCCTGCATTGCAGGTGGATTCTTTACCATCTGAGCAACCAGGGAAGCCCAATGTTATCTCATAATTGGTCTTATTTGTGATCATTTCAGGAAGTATTTACATGCAGGTTAAATTAGCAAATACATCTGAAAACACCTGGCACACAGTGGGCTTTCAGTAAATGTTCATTGAATCTGCCTTGTACTTCCTAAATTGGATCCCCACATGATTTCTTAGGGGAATAGTTTTGACCCACTAGTCTTCTGAGTCATGTTATACAGGGTGGCCATCCAGGGTCACAGCAAACTTTTCTTTACATGGAGCTCCATATTTTATAACTACCCTAATAACGTTCATCCCCAAACAGCAACTAACAGCGAGCACAGGGTCTTCTACCCTTAGGTCAATAGGCTACAGTGTAGTTAGCTGTGGAGATTTGTGTCTCCCAGACTAGGCCACCCAAACCATGTTTTCCAAGTGCAGCTGAAGAACAAAGCCAAGACAGACACAAAGCAGGAAACCCACGAGTTATAACTTGACCTAGCTGGGCTCCCTCCTTCCAAAGGGACCAGGGAGGGCATTGTAAGCATCTCCTCACAAGAAGGCTTGTAAGTGTCTCCACACAAGAAGGACTTGAGTGAACTCCTTAGTAGGTAGAGCCGTTCAGCCTTCTTTTCAAGAAAAGCAAGCAGGGTACATAGTTGGTATAATTGAAAGGTCACCACACCAGGAATCGACGATTAAACAACACAAAGAAGACCCATCATAACCTGGCCCCAACACTCGCCCTCATAAACACATTCTCACCTTCGCACATCAGGCTTCTTCTCCACAGGAGGCTGTATCCCTGATCTTCCCAACTAATAAACTTGACTCATCTTTCCATACCCAGTTCAAGCCTTCTAGAACTGATGTTTGTAAGAATGTTTTCCTCCATCTTCTCAAAGGGCTTGGTCCTTGCTTCATCTGATGGGTTGAATTTGAAATTTTTGCATGTGGCGTGACTGACTCTCTGCCTTAACTGAGAATTAAAAGTAGGCACTTAAAATGTATTTGTGGGAGGAGCCAAGATGGCGGAGGAATAAGACGGGAAGACCACTTTCTCACCTACAAATTCATCGAAAGAACATTTGAACGCTGAGCAAACTTCACAAAACAACTTCTGATCACTAGCTGAGGACATCAGGCAAGCACCCAGAAAAGCAGCCCACTGTCTTCGAAAGGAGGTAGGACAAAATATGAAAGATAAAAAGAGAGACAAAAGAGCTAGGGACAGAGAGCCGTCCCGGGAAGGGAGCCTTAATAGAGGAAGTTTCCAAACACCAGGAAACCCTCCCACTGGCGGTTCTGGGGGAAGTTTTCGAATCTCAGAGGGCAATCTAACTGGGAGGAAAAATAAATAAAACCCACATATTACGTGCCTAATAGCAATTCCCAGCAGAAAAGTACCCCAGACGCCCGCATCCGCCACCAGCAAGAGGGGGCGGAATGGAGAGGAGCGGCATTGCTTAGGGTAAGGACCAGGCCTGAGTGCCCTGAGGGCAATCGGAGGGAGCTTTTGTGAGATAGCAACTTAAACTGTGGGATAGCAAAAGAGAGAGAAAATTAACCAGCCCAAACACACTGCTGGCCGTTCGCAGAACAAAGGGTCTGAGCAAGTCCAGAGAAGAGCTAGCGGGCTGTGGACCGGCCCATCCCCGCCGGAGGCAGGGGGGAGGGGAAAGGGGCAAACTCGGCCCCAGAGACGGCATCCCCTACCACATTGCAAACAGGCCTCCAGTTTCTAACCAAAGACTTCCTGAGATTCTGGATGGTCGACATCCGCTGGGAGGGTCACGGCTAAACACAGGGCGCACACACCTGACTGGTGCGGGCGGAAACTAAGGCTGGGGCCGCGGAGGGGAGAAGACGCACCGCACCCGGGGAGAGTGCACCCGTCAAGCCCCTGGCTGCCTGAGCTGCTCGGGCTGGGGAAGGCACAAAACGCAGGCACAACCGAGTCCGCGCTTTTGTGGAATACCCGAAAACTGGAACCGCAGGCAACGCAGGGCACACTCCATATAGAACAGCCGGGAGCCTGAGCAGCGTAGACGGGGAGAGCACACACCCGTGAGCAGGGCAAACCCAGTGTGGCCGGAACTCTGTGAGTGCTGCCCACACACAGTGATATCTGCCTGCAGCGCCCCTCCCTCCCCGCATCAGGACTGAACTAGCGAACCTGAACAAGAGACCACCTCTGCCCACCTGTGTCAGGGCGGAAATTAGGCACTGAAGAGACCAGCAAACAGAAGCCAAATAAACAAAGGGAACCGCTTCAGAAGGGACCCGTGCAACAGATTAAAATCCCTGTAGGTAACACTGACTACACCTGAATGGGCCTATAGATATTGAGAAGTATAAGCTGGAACGAGGAGCTATCTGAAACTGAACCGGACCCACACTGGCTGCAACAGCTTCAGAGAAATTCCTAGATATATTTTTACCTTTTTCTTCCTTTTCTTTTCCTTTTTATTTTTTCTCTTTTATTTTCTTTTAAAATTCCCTATTACTCCCCCATTACTCCTTAACTTTCATTTTCATATATTTTTACGATTTTTTTAATTAGGAAAAAAAATTTTTCTTTTTTTTGNCTTGGGCTCTTAAAAGACTGCAAATGCCTTGCACTATGATACATTTGGAACTCCCGCCTGCCTCCTTTAAACCTCTGGAGTAGCCCTCCTGCCAGCCTCTCAAGAAGCTCAGTACTGATTGGGTACTGCTGCGTCCAATGGGAAGCGGCGACATTGAGTGTAGTTAAGGTTCGGGCGGGACTGCGCCGTGGCGGTTGCTGGGAAACCGCGCGGACACCAGACAGACCTACTGGTGTTTGGGTTTTCCGCTGGAAGTTGTAAGCCGCCCGAACGGGAGAGGGAGTTTAGTCTGCCGAGATGGTAAGCATGCCGAAACTACTCGGTTGTCAATTGATTTAATTCTAGTTTAGAGCCAGCCTACTTCTAAAAAAGGATTTGAAGTGCCTATCTGAGAATTAAATGGGAAAATCGTACCTCAGAGACCTCAGGTGCTGCTATTTAAGCGACGCGCGTGCTGGCTGACCCCCGCCCCGCCCCTCATTTGATCTGCCCGGCAAAAAATTATTGCTTCCCACGTTTCTGGAAATTTGGGAGATGTTTAAGAACTGCTGAACAAATGAGTGGAAATGAAGCTCCAGGAGAGAGCGCATGAATAAATAGCGGGTTGACTTATTTAATGTGCATTACAGAAACGTGAACGGCTTTTGAACCGCACTTCACGGCCAAGGGGGAAGGAGTAGAGGATGGACTGAGGAGGTATTCCCTGCGTAGTGGTAAAGAACTGGGTATATAGAACTCAGCTGCGCGTCTTAGAACTCTAATACGGCTGTTTATTGGCTGAGGAAACTTGAGTCAAGTTGCTTTAGCTTTCTATGCCTCATCTATAAGATGGGGAACACAAATAGTACCTGCTTCATTGATACATCTTAAAAAAATTTTTTTTAATCTACCACATTGCTTTTTTGTTATGTCTCTGAATTTGGAGAGGAGCCAAACTCCTTTCGTTTATTACAGTTTCATTTGTTTCTGGGGCTACATCAATGTATTTTTACAAATTAGATCCTGGAATACCAAAGTATGCTTTTTTGTTTGTTTGTTTTCCCTTCTCCTTTTTAGGCTTCCAAAAGGAGAACTTTGAGCTTCAGTGAAAGGCATCAGAATTTAGTAGATATAAACTATTGCAAAAAATTGCATGTCGAGGCACTACAAAGGCTACAGAATCAAACCAGGGACCGAATGGTGCAGAGTGAGAATGATGACAGGGCTGAGCGCAAAAGGTTCCTCAGATTATTACAGGATGAACAATTTGAGTTGGATATGGAAGAGGCCATTCAAAAGGCAGAAGAAAACAAAAGATTGAGGGAACTCCAGCTTGAACAAGAAGAAAAATTGGCTGCAGAACTGGCAAAACTAAAATGTGAAAGTCTAAAGGATGAAAAGTTGAGGCAACAAGTAAGAGAAAACAGTGCTGAGCTCAGAGAATTGGAGAAGAAATTAAAAGCAGCTTACATGAATAAAGAAAGAGCAGCTCAAATTGCTGAAAAGGATGCCATTAAATATGAGCAAATGAAACGTGATGCTGAAATAGCCAGAACGATGATGGAGGAGCACGAGAGGTTGATAAAGGAAGAGAATGCCGCAGAGGACAAACGAAGCCAAGTAAAAGCACAGTACAGTCATGACTTAGAGAAACAGCTTGAAGAACAAGAGAAGAAAAAGCAGGAAGCTTATCAGCAGTTGCTGAAAGAGAAGCTCATGGTTGATGAAATTGTTAGGAAAATCTATGAAGAAGATCAATTGGAAAGACAGCAAAGGTTAGAGAAAATGAATACAACTCGAAGGTATATAGAAGAGTTTCAGAAAGAGCAGGCTCTCTGGAGAAAAAAGAAACGTGATGAGGATGATCGAATAGAATTAATGAATGCTCAGAAGCAAAGAATGAAGCAGCTAGAACACAAGAGGGCTGTGGAAAAACTTATAGAAGAGCGCCACAACCAGTTCCTTGCAGACAAACAACGTGAACTGCAGGAATGGCAGTGGCAGCAAAAAAGACAAGGATGTATAAATGCAATTGTCGAAGAAGAAAGACTAAAACTTCTTAAAGAACATGCTACAAAACTACTAAGGTATCTCCCTAAAGGAGTATTCAAAAATGAGGATATTGATATGCTTGGTGAAGAGTTTAGAAAAGCATATCAGAAAAGGAGTGAAATTTGTGAGAAGTGATACCATCAAGATTTGCTTCTTAAGTTTTCTGATTTTAATGCTTCAATTTTTCTGTGTTCTTCATTTGCTGTATCCTGCAAAATGAAAAAAAATCCCATGTATTCTTTACACAGTATTTTAATGGAAAAATTAAATCAACAATAAAAACTTTAAATGGTAGAGGCAAAAAAAAAAAAAAAGAAAGAAAAGAAAACCCTAAAGACTCTACCAGAAAATTACTACAGCTAATCAGCGAATATAGTAAAGTTGCAGGATATAAAATTAACACACAGAAATCCCTTGCATTCCTGTACACTAACAATGAGAAAACAGAAAGAGAAATTAAGGAAACAATACCATTCACCATTGCAACAAAAAGAATAAAATACTTAGGAGTATATCTACCTAAAGAAACAAAAGACCTATACATAGAAA